AGCGCCACCTAGACACACAGCGACCGAGATCAGGGCCCCGTCGGGCCAGGCGCTGCCCAGACACACAGCGACCGAGATCAGGGCCCCGTCGCGCCGGGCGCTGCCCAGACACAGACCCTGCCCCGAAGTGCTCACAGTCTAAATACACAAAGGGCCCTGAGAAGATCAGTGGCTGAGCTGGGATGAGAACCGAGGTGTCCAAATTCCCACTCCAGTGCGCTATCCACTAGACCATCACTCATCTCTTCCCTAGTTCTTCCTCTATTGCAGCGTGTGTGTGTGGGGGGGGAGGGGAGCAGTATGTGTGTGCGCGCAGGGGGTTGTGTTCTCCAGTTCTTTGCCCCCATGGGAGTGCCCGACAGCATGCCCTCTGCTGGTGGTGTTGCCCCATGCATGCCGCCCAGTCGGCTTTTTTAATTGCACTCGACGGGATAGAATCACAGGGTGAGAAGGGACCGCAAGGGTCATCTAGACTAACCCCCTCACAAGGTGCAGATTTGTTGGGTCTAAACCACCCAAGACAGATGGCTCCAGCCTCCTTTTGAAACCTCCAGTGAAAACGATCCCCCCGCCCCTCGCTCCCCAAAGGCGTCTGTTCCATTGTCCTACTGTTCTTACAGCGAGGGGAGATTTAATCTAGATCGGCTGGGCTGTGGTTTGAACCCACTGCCCCTTGTCCTGCCCTCTGCGGCAGGAGAGAACAACTTTTCTCCATCTTTCTGATGGCAGCTTTCCAAGTATTTGAAGACCGCTATCCTGTCCCCCTTTCATCTCCTCTTTTCCCAACTAACCACACCCAGCTCCTTCAGCCTTTGCTCAGACGGCTTGTGTTCCACCCTTTGATCATCTTTGTCGCTCGCCTCTGGATCCTTTCCAGCTTCTCTACATCCTTTCTATACATTGATGACCAAAATTGGACACTGTTCTCCAGCAGAGCGGTACTGTCACCTCCCAGGACTTGCAGGCTATGCCTCGGTTAACGCAACCTAAAACTGCACTTGCTTTTTTTTACAACAGCATCGCGTCGCTGACTCATGTTGAGGTTGGGATCCATCCACCACAACTCCCAGCTCCTTCTCAGCAGCGCTGCTGCCAAGCCAGTTACCCCCTATTCTGCATTTGGTTTTTCTTCCCTAACGGAAGCACCTTCCATTTGTCTGTGTTGAATTTCATTGTGTTGTCTATAGCCCAGTTCTCCAATTTATCAAGATCCCTCTGAATCTTAGCTCTACCCTCCAAAGTATTGGCAACACCCCCTACCCCCCGCACCACCACCAGCTTTGTGTCACCTGCAAATGTGGTCAGTCTGCTCCCTCTATACCTACATCCAGGGCATTAATAAAGATGTTAAACAACACCAAACCCAGAACAGATCCCTGGGGAACCCCCCTCGAGACCTCCCTCCAACCCGACATCGTTCCATTCCTCCTTACTCTTTGTTTGCAGCTGTTTAACCAGTTATGTATCCACTTAATGGTAGTTCCGCCGAGCCCACATTTCTCCAGCTTAGTTATCAGAATGTCACGGGGGACTGTGTCAAAAGCCTTGCTGAAGTCCAGGTATATGACATCCACCGCATTCCCCCATCCACCAAACCAGTTACCCCGTCAAAGAAGGGAATCCAGCTGGTTTGGCAGGATTTGTTCTTGGTAAATCCAAGCTGGCTGCTAGCAATCACCCTTCAGCCTGCTGGCGATCACCCCTTCAGCCTGCTGGCATTCGCCAATGGCATGTTTGCTACATGGCTCTAGCAGCTCCCAGGTATCGAAGTCAGGCTGACTGGTCTATAGTTCCCCGGCTCCCCCTTTTAAAGATGGGCTTTACATTGGCCCTTCTCCAGCCTTCCGGGACCTCTCCTGTCATCCATGCGTTTGTATCATTGCCAGCAGCGCCGAGATTTCTTCGGCTACTTCCTGCAGTGCCCTGGGTGAACAGTGTCCAGCCCTGCTGATTTGACTTCATTCAAATTGGTCAGAAGATCTGTGACGTGTTCTTGACTTTATCCCGATCTGCTGCCCTTCCCCTTTATTGTCTGTGGTCATCCGGTCACATGTGATAGACTGAGGCCAGGTGGGCATTGAGCAGCTCTGCCTTCCTATCATCTCCCGTTCCCAGCTCACCTTCTCCACCGAGCAGCGGCCCCACGCTGCCCGTGATCTTTCTTTTTCGCCTGACGTATTTGAAGAACCCCGTCTCGTCGTCTCTAACCTTCCTTGCCAGCTGTAGCTCATTCCTCGCCTGGGCTTTCCTGATCTTGCCCCTACACGCTCGCGCTATTCCCACGTATACGTCCTTGGTGCCATAACCCTCCTCCCATTCCCTGCGTGTATCCCTTTGGGTTTTTAGATCGCTAAAAAGCTCCTTGTGCAGCCACATTGGCCTCCTGTGGCTTTTTTAATCTTTCCTCTGCATCAGAATAGCTTGATGATGAGCACCTAGCATTACCCCTTTTAGGAACTGCCAGCCCCCCTTCGACTCCTTTTCTTCCTAATTGGTCTGTCCATGGGCCCTCGCCTGCTATTTCTCTGAGTCGGTTGCAATCCACCCTTCTGAAGTCCAGTGTCCTTGTTTTGCTGTTCTCGTGCCCTCCTTCCCGTAGGATCTTGAATTCTATCAGATCCTGATCACTTCCTCCCAAGTTCCCGACCACCTTTGCCTTCCCAACGAATTCATCCCTGTTGGTCAAGACCAGATCCAAAATGGACGACCCCCGAGTTGTTCTCGACCTTCTGAATCAGTCCCCTCCAGGCGCTAAGAATTTGGGGGATGGATTATGTTTGGCTGTGATAGTCTTCCAACAGACACCAGGGACCCCTCAGCCTGGGGCCGCGGACGGGAACTCCCAACACCACTACCCTCCTCCTCAGGCCCCCACCCAGGAGTAACCTGGGGGGAGGGGGGCGTTCCAGGGTGATGTTGCCGTGGCAGCTGCAGGAAAGGTCAGGGGTGTGGGTAGCAACACCCACCTGCCGCTCTCTCTGTATGGGATCAGAAAGGGGGGCCCAGCGAAAAGGGGCAATTTAATACATAGGGGAGAGGCAACATGGCCCAGTGGGCAGAGCACGACGCTGGGACTCCAGAGACCTGGCTTCTAGTCCTGTGTGGCGTTGAGTATCACAGCCCTGCTCCCTGCCTCAGTTTCCCCTCCCACCCTTTGCCAATGTATACAGTGAACCCTTCAGGGCAGGGGCTGTCTCTCACTCTGCACCTGGGCAGCATCCGGCCTGAGGCGGGGGCTCCCGATTTTCGCTGGGGCCTCCACCATAACAACAATAAGCGACACAGAGAGGTTAAGGCCAGACACCCCTGGGAGTAACCTGGGCGTGGGGGGAAGTTACAGGCCTTGCTCCTGGCGACCTGACAAGCCACCTCAGCATACAGACAGAAGAGGAAGGGTACCAGGGACAGAAAAATCTGATGGAATCTGACTAATTAAGGGTGTCATTAAGGGTTAATTAAAAAAAAAACCCGATCAGCTGCCACTTACTTGGTATAACTGAGACACGGATCCTGTATAGACATACACACACACCCTGCAATAAGAGCGCCAGGGAGTCATACCAGTATAGCTACAGTGTCTGGGAAATTACCCATCTATCCTAGGAACTTATATGGTGCCCATCACTAAAGTATCTGAGCACCTCATAATCTTTAATGGATTTATCCTCATAACGGCTGTTATCCCCATTTTAAAGAGGGGGAAACTGAGGCTCGGAAAGCCTAAATGACTTGCTCAAGGTCACGCAGGAAGTCAGTGGCAGAGCAGGGCATGGACCATGGGTCTCCCAATGCCTAGACTA